AAAAAAAAAAAAACGGTAACCTGGTTGCCGAGTTCACGAAGTGAATTGGCTTGTTTTACAACATCGTTGCCAAGCGACGATAACCCAACCCCGATGGCAAACACCGGGGGGGGGGAGGGGGGGGGGGTCGTTTGTGAGAGACGTCATCTGTTGTGAACTGGTGATACCGCCGGTGGTTCTCCCACTCCATGGCTGACGTATTCTTTGTTGAATTGCGGGATTGAAAACCAAAGCCAATACGAGGAAACAAACATCTACCTAGGCGGGTCGTCTCAGTATCTTCCCTCAGCGTAGTTTCAGCTAATGCTAGTTAGTCCACGTATCATACCTATAGACTAGTTGAGAAGTGTAGCTTTCGAAGAGTAGTCAGTCATGTCCAGCTTTTAATTGCGATCGTTGCGAGTGCATTTAGTCATGCAAAATGGCACTTGCCAGCCAATCGCTGTGCGGTAGGGGGGAATACCCATTTTCGAATGCGGCGCCGCCTCTTCGGTGTGGGTGACACTTCGAACCACGCTCTCACCCTAGAGGCCTTGTTCTGTTTCTCCTCAAGTTTCAATCACAGACACCAGCTCAAACAAGACACATATCTATTGGCGTTACACTTGCATTGAGATTGACGACCAAGAAACTCGAGTCAATTCTGTACGGTTTTGTGGGTTCCAGTCCCGACAAGTTCTGCCATGTTGAGCGGACGAGGCCTGCGTAGCTCCGGGCGATGACGTCGTCCGAAGGCATCGATTCCTATTTCATCCCACATACGTTGGTAGTATGTAGGATGATGCCCTACGTACGTAAGCTACACATGGTCGATACTGTTTCATTGAAACAGGTACAGCATACACAGAAGAACCCAGTTCTGCGTAAAAAAGGAATTGACCGGGAAAGTCAAAGTCGAACCTATGTAGCCTCTACATATCACACCCTGTACAACATGATATTTAATGCATATTGCTCCAATCAATACATACTAAAAATTGGAGTTGATATGTATTGATAGGTTCAATACAACGGGAGAATATCTTCCACTACATATATATTACTACCAAGATATATGTATACAATTGGTGTCAATTGATATCGTTTGGTTCAGCATATTGGGAGAAATTCGATCAACATATATTGGTTCAAGCAATGTGATAGTGGAAATGGTACCAATTGATATCGTATGGCTCAATGCAGACGGAAAGCATCGATCGATATGCGCGCCAGGTAATCGATACGTCCGTTCGCTTGTTTTGGTTCGTCCCCCATGACGTTAACAGTAACTCTGCTCATGCATAAAATTGATGTCGCGCGGAGTGCGAAAAGGTTTTCGGAATGTTTTCTTTCGCTTTGAAAATAGTTACAGCGTACGTTATGTATCAACATAGTGTTCGAAGGATAGATAGGAAAAATAGTGCGTCGAGATCACCAGTAGTCGGACACGGTTTGACCTTCGAATACGATTGCAGCCACTAGTGTGCGCAGCAGTAGAAAATAATCCATCTCTCCGTGGCATGTATTCTCTTGTTCTAGAAATATTCCGGAAGCATCCTAGGTCAAGGTCGACCGGCATCTACGTAGAATGTGTGTAGCTTTTGGAAACCTTCTGTAAGCTTCTGGAACCTTCTGGAAGCGCTCTAGACCTAGGTTGCACCTGATACAAATCTAGAACGTAGGAGGGCTTCCAGAATCATTCTGGAAGCATTCTAGATCTTTCGTGTGATTGGCTTCTTTGTCCGGTATTCGAGGAGAGTGGTGCAACCCTAACCTCGCCACCCCTCTTACTCCCCTCCAGTACCAGCAACACTAATCTGACTCGGGAGTCAGCAATTGATAAGAACATCTTCATATTTCCATCCCAAGTCTCTCGCGGTTGGAGACGCACAGAGTGTGAACCTCTGAGGTAGGCTACACAGCCTCCTGGCATCTGCAGCATCGTACTGCTGCTAGTGCACAGCGAAATTACGCTGACTGGTGATGAGCCTCGGCTAGCGCACATACTACGAGCTGCGAGTATGACGGGAAGATCAAGGCAACCTCCTAGTGGAACATCAGCCTTCATCCGTGGACAACGAGAGAACGTGGTTTCGGATTTCCGGAGATTGCGACGCCGTCATCGGTCAACGGCACCACAAGCAAACGCGCAAACTTGGCCACCTACACCAAGGTGCTGAGAGTTCACGTCGTATACACACGTTACCACCGCTGCGGCAGCAGTGGGTACCTCTGTGGTGAACTAGCAACAAGGGTCACGTGCGCGGGGGTCTCGAGCGACATACGCATCGGGTCCTCTATATCAGTAGCAGGAGCGGGATCGGAAGCAAGAAAACCACAACCGGAGTCCTCTAGTCTAGATCATTAGCAGGAACGGGGTGGGGAATTATCGGGTACAGGCAGTAGTGCCACGAGCAAACTACTCCTGCAGCAGGAAGTACTTATATCAAGACGAAGAATATAAAGCTGAAACGAGCAATGGATACCGCAACGAGCAACACAGGAGGTGGAGGCGCGTTCGCCAGCGATAGTTCTACAAACCTGGCAACCGTGATCAATGGCCTCGAGAAATTCGACGAAAAGGACCCAGCTGAGTTCAAGACATGGATGAAGAAATTCTGCGTGGTGTNACTTATATCAAGACGAAGAATATAAAGCTGAAACGAGCAATGGATACCGCAACGAGCAACACAGGAGGTGGAGGCGCGTTCGCCAGCGATAGTTCTACAAACCTGGCAACCGTGATCAATGGCCTCGAGAAATTCGACGAAAAGGACCCAGCTGAGTTCAAGACATGGATGAAGAAATTCTGCGTGGTGTTAGGCGTGACCAGGAAGGACATCCTGCCACTACTGAAGAAACAAAGGAAGCCAGATCCCGCCGACACAGCGGCCTTCGACTCCTTCACAAGGGCAAACGAAGATCTCTACGCCATTCTTTTCCTCCTAGTGGAATTTCCAGCCGCCGTGTCGGTACAGAAGCACGAAGACGACACCGGCATCAGCGGCGACGGACAAGCTGCCTTCGAATTGCTCTGCAGCAACTATGACAGGGTAACGGACGAGGTCATCAGGGCCAAGATGGAGGAGCTAGAGAATAACCCCATGAACCCTGGTGAAAATCCCGACGACTACGTCAACCAGAAGCACCTACTTAGCGCCCAGCTGGATAAGATGGGAGAACCCATCTCCGACCGCCGCTTCAAGGATATCTGCGTACAGGGCTTCTCCGACGAGTATAAGGACGTCAAACTGATGGTGTTCAGGGACCCAACTTTCAACGTCCTGGACATGCAATCCACCATGCGCAACATCTTCTTGGACGATCAATCGCGCAAGGGATAGAAGGGACGCATAGTTGGTCGAGGATTTGCCATGGCAACGACCGCGTCTGACATCGTCTGCCACAGCTTCTACGAGCCGGGGTACATCAGGAGGAACTGCCCCAAGATCAAGAACAGGGCGGCGAAGAAAACGAAGCCCGCCGGAGCTACCAAGTGGTGCTCCAAGCACAACACCACGTCTCACTCGGACGAGGAATGCCTCCAATAAGGAGGAAAGCGCCCGGAAGACACCAAGCACTCAAGCAAAACATTCACCGCGTGCTCCGACTGCACTCACTGCTCGTCGGCGTCCAACAAGAACGACTCAAACAATGAAGTGTTCCCGCATCTCAGCACGCAACTTCGCCGCGAGCTCCACCGGGGTAGGACTGCTGGTAGACACGGGAGCATCGGAGACCATGTTTGACAATCGCCTCATCCCCGACGGAAACCTTCACGGTTACACCCAGCGAAACTCTCCAAAGATCGTCGACGTGGCCGGAGAAAGCCCACTCAAAGACACGGCCACGGGCATCCTACACTGCACCGCCAAGGACAATCGAGGACAGCAATTGCGCGTGCGGACTCAGGGACTCGTCGTTCCGGGACTTGGTCGCAACAATTTTTCGCCCACCTCCCTCCTGAAAAAGGGGTTGCGCTGCGTCGTCGAGGAGAGCACTCCGCACCCCACTGTTAAAGGCAAGGTGATTACACTCACACAAGATCCGCGAGACCAAGGCATGTGCACCCTCGACATCACGTTCGAGCAGAACGTCCAGTCATCCGGCACGAGATCCCTCGTGCCCCACCAGAAGCAGTCATAGACCCACACGGCGAACGCCGTCTGCTTTTCGCTTGTGAGCGCGGACACCTGACACAGGAGGCTTGGACATCTCAATGCTAAGAGCCTGGACATCCTTCAGGAGGACACGGGTACCGGGGTGGACTATCACGACAGTCTCTCCCCTTGCGGGGTCTGCCAGATCGCGAAACACAAGCAGTGCCCCACCCGAAGCAATCGATTCGCGAACTGTCACGGCCTGGACAACTTATGGTCATCGACCACATGGGGCCTGTTAATCCACCTGCGAAATAAAGGAGGCTACTTCCCGTACGCGTGCAATATCACCGACGACTACACGAAAATGAAAGAAGTGTACCTGCTTCGCAAAAATCTGACACGACCAAGGCGGTGCACATGTACAACACGTGCGTCGCAGCGGCAGGAGGCTACCGGATCGAGACCATCCCCTACGACAAGGGAGGCGAGAATACCGGATCCGAATTTCGAGANCGGCACGAGATCCCTCGTGCCCCACCAGAAGCAGTCATAGACCCACACGGCGAACGCCGTCTGCTTTTCGCTTGTGAGCGCGGACACCTGACACAGGAGGCTTGGACATCTCAATGCTAAGAGCCTGGACATCCTTCAGGAGGACACGGGTACCGGGGTGGACTATCACGACAGTCTCTCCCCTTGCGGGGTCTGCCAGATCGCGAAACACAAGCAGTGCCCCACCCGAAGCAATCGATTCGCGAACTGTCACGGCCTGGACAACTTATGGTCATCGACCACATGGGGCCTGTTAATCCACCTGCGAAATAAAGGAGGCTACTTCCCGTACGCGTGCAATATCACCGACGACTACACGAAAATGAAAGAAGTGTACCTGCTTCGCAAAAATCTGACACGACCAAGGCGGTGCACATGTACAACACGTGCGTCGCAGCGGCAGGAGGCTACCGGATCGAGACCATCCCCTACGACAAGGGAGGCGAGAATACCGGATCCGAATTTCGAGACCACTGCAAGAATTCAGCTATCAAGCTCGAGTACGCCGCCACCAACACCCCTCCACAAATTGGTGTATCGGAACGGGACGGACAAACCCTGGCCGGAGTCACCCGGTGTCTTCTGAAGGATGGAGACTTTCCGCCGTCCGTGTGGGGGGAGTAATGCTGACTGCAGCATACCTGTTGAAGGGTCCCCACACTCAGCACTGGGGGGAGCTACGCCATACTCGAAGTTGCACNCCTACGACAAGGGAGGCGAGAATACCGGATCCGAATTTCGAGACCACTGCAAGAATTCAGCTATCAAGCTCGAGTACGCCGCCACCAACACCCCTCCACAAATTGGTGTATCGGAACGGGACGGACAAACCCTGGCCGGAGTCACCCGGTGTCTTCTGAAGGATGGAGACTTTCCGCCGTCCGTGTGGGGGGAGTAATGCTGACTGCAGCATACCTGTTGAAGGGTCCCCACACTCAGCACTGGGGGGAGCTACGCCATACTCGAAGTTGCACAATAAGTCACCTGATCTCTCGGGACTTTGGGTTATTGAAGCGCGTGCCTTCGTACACCGCGAGCGATACCGAAAAAAGCTGGACGACAGCGCTTTCGAAGGCAAGCGATGTGGTTTCGGCCTCGACAGCAGGACCTACCGGGTATTCAATCCATTCAACGGGACCTTGGTTGAGAGCCGGAATGTGACTCTCATCGAATCTCCTCTCAGGTCAGTGTCATTCCAGCATTCCACTGAAGCAAACGGATACGAGAGCGAAGTGCTGAGCTTTACCCCCCTGCTGAACAGCCCCCACTCGATGAGCGACCTGGACTTCACGGCGCAGAACGAACTCCTTCGGCAAGAAGTCCGGAAGATGCAGCAAGACAATCTGACTCGGGAGGATCTTCGCCTAGAACTGGACGGGAACGAGGACGAACATGGCAACGGGCAAGCTCTCAGCGACGGGGACGCCCCATCACCGCATCTCTCATCGACGCCAGCTCGATTGTCATCCGAAAACCACGCATCTAGCCCCAGCCCATCATCGTCGAACCCGTCTGAACCGGACACTGTTGCATCAACTGGATCCTTCGGTATGCGGCGCCTGCAAGTCACCAGAGTTAGCACGCGCGGGAAGCCCACCAGCGACGATCAGATCGACGTTAGCTTGGTTCCTGCCGATCTGCAAGTCACCATGAACGACCGCGGTCGATCCCGTGCTGCAGCGGGCCGCGTGGAGTCATCCGGGCTTTCCTTCACTCAGCTGGCTGAGATAGCCGATCAAGCCCAGCTCCCATGCCCCGGCGATACTGAGGATTTCGCCCACGTGGCGGAAGACCCCTTCACGGTGCCGCGTGCTCACGCCTACGTGACGACCACTTATGACCACCACGGGATCTTGGAGGAGACGAATCAAGCGATCGAAATCCCCAACACCTACGACGAAGCCATGAGCTCTCCCCAGCGCGAAGAATGGAAAGGAGCGTGCAGCAAGGAAATGGACCATCTGCGGAAACACAACGTCTGCAACCTGGTGCCCCTCAGTAGCGTTACCAAGGGAAAGAAGATCCTCGCAACGAAATTCATCTTCAGGAAAAAGCTGGGCGGACGCTTCAAAGCTCGTCTGGTAGTCGGAAGACATCGTCAAGAGCCAGGACAGGATTACGGACGCAGCTACGCCCCAGTATGCCGTATCGGGAGCATTCGCATGACGTGCGCCATTGGCTGCCACAAGAACTGGCCCATCTACCAACTGGACGTTGTCCGTGCCTTCCTAAACGCCCTCTGCGACAGAGACGTGTACGTCAGACCCACCCCCGGTATGTACATCCGCCAAGAACTCCGCGACGGGAGAACTCATGGTGTACAACTTGAACAGAGTCTCTACGGCCTATCGCAGCCGCCGGCGCTCTGGAACGACACCCTGGACGAGTCTCTCACGGTGTTCGGATGGAAAAGGACTCAATTCGACCCCTGCGTGTACGTGTATACCAGCGGCAACATCATTGTGATTCTAACGGTCTACGTAAAAGACATTCTCATACCAGAAGGAGACCAGCAGCTCGTGGACCAGAAGAAGAAGGAGCTCAAAGAATTAATTTTCGATACGATGCCAACGGAGGGGTCGAGGTAGAAATGGATATGGTGATGCGGTTGACCATTGTGAATTAGTTGCTTGATCGAGGGGTCGTGTCAGGAAAAATTGTGCGTCGAGACCACCAGTAGTCGGACACAGTTTGACCTTTGGATACGATTGCAGCAGCTACTCTGCGTAGCAGTAGAAAAGAACCTATCTCTCCGTGGCATGTATTCTCTTGTTCTAGAAATATTCCGGAAGCATGCTAGGTCAAGGTTGACCGGGACATCTANCCTTCTGGAAGCTTCTGGAAGCGTTCTAGACCTAGGTTGCACCTGATACTCTTCTAGAACGTAGGAGGGCTTCCAGAATCATTCTGGAAGCATTCTAGATCTTTCGTGTGATTGGCTTTTTTGTCCGGTATTCGAGGAGAGAGAGTGGTGCAGCCTTAAGCTCGCCACCCCTCTCACTCCCCTTCAATACCAGCAACTCAATCTGACTCGGAAGTCAGCAATTGGTAAGAACATCTTCATGTTTCCATTTCAAGTCTCTCGCGGTTGGAGCCGCACCGAGTGTGAACCTCTGGGGTAGGCTACACAGCCTCCTGGAATCTGCAGCATCGTACTGCTGCTAGTGCACAGCGAATTTACGCTGACATAGAAATTAATCGCCACGATCATCAACGTANGTTGCACCTGATACTCTTCTAGAACGTAGGAGGGCTTCCAGAATCATTCTGGAAGCATTCTAGATCTTTCGTGTGATTGGCTTTTTTGTCCGGTATTCGAGGAGAGAGAGTGGTGCAGCCTTAAGCTCGCCACCCCTCTCACTCCCCTTCAATACCAGCAACTCAATCTGACTCGGAAGTCAGCAATTGGTAAGAACATCTTCATGTTTCCATTTCAAGTCTCTCGCGGTTGGAGCCGCACCGAGTGTGAACCTCTGGGGTAGGCTACACAGCCTCCTGGAATCTGCAGCATCGTACTGCTGCTAGTGCACAGCGAATTTACGCTGACATAGAAATTAATCGCCACGATCATCAACGTATTGTTGCTCCAAGATGTATGAATCGAATTCGGTAAAAACATATGGTACCTTGCAGTATCCATCGACGAACAACTGAAAGCGTGCTGGTCGAAGCGATACATATTGAAGACTTGTAGTTTATCCTATCGCGGAAGCAAAAATGTGCTGCGTCTTTTGTTTCAATCTATCGTTCGTTGCTCACAATATATATATATATATAAATCGATGCATCCGGAACCATCACATTGATTTCTGTTATACGTATCGACTATCGAAATTTCAACAATATTGTGAGACCAATATTCGACTAGCCAAAGTATTGTCCAGGGTGTAAGGGCCACACTCTCGGCCCACACTACATGCGCCACCATTCCTCGTGCTCTACACGAATATTAATCGACGAGACGAATGGTCAGGGCAATCAATGGGGGAAATGGTACAGCCCCGCACATGGCCACCACTATTTTAAATGCAACATATTATGCATCCCATGGTAAATCCTATATGATAATGGCCCTGTACTAAAACCAGTACACGTTGGGGGAGCGACAGTGGGTACGTACCGGGTCATTCCCAGATATATATACATATATATTTTTATATACTGTACACCAGATACAATACATTGATACATATCGGGAGAGCAGTACACTACTACTTATTTGTATCGATATGCATTGCAAAGAGCAACACATCATTGAACATCTCATCGATACATATCGTGAGAACCAAACGCTTTTCCGTCCATGTATTGCATCATTTTGACCCTTGCAGCACTTTCCAACATACATGTGGAGCAATATCGGTTGCTCGTTGCAAAATGTTTTGAAAAAAAATGCTCTCGGATCGAACCAGAGGTAGATTCACGAACTGCCAATCGATGCATATTCCCAGAACGCTACCCTCGCAAGAAAACATATCACTGCGTATTACAGCCACCAGTACGTGACGTATTACGATAGGAACGCATCGATATGCATTGACTTTTTTTTTTTTTTGCCTTCCGACAATTAATTGCAGATGTACCTCAGAAAACTTTCACTTAATGTCTCATACTCTACATGAATGTTAAACCAATACATACGAAGTACAACAGCATGTGTAGGACTTATTTCTACTGTCACTTACATCGCAAAAATATTTCCTCTTCAATTTGAAACAAAACCAATGACAATCCTCATGGTATCCTACATGCGTTCGTAAGCTTGCTAAAATAATGCTGCGTTGTTGATGTCCTCTTGTAAAAGCTGAAACCCAACAAAATTGATCCATGTTACATCTCCGTGTTGGAAAAGCCCTTTCTTCTCCGTTCATCATAACATCTTTCCCTATTTTATTTATTTTTGCCTTCCGACAATTGCAGATGTACCTCAGAAAACTTTCACTTAATGTCTCATACTCTACATGAATATTAAACCAATACGAAGTACAACAACA